CTCCGGGCGGCATGCCCAGGCGAGGATGGACCCCCCCCCCCCCGGTTCCTGGGCACTCTGACCACCAACTATCTGGAAACGTTTTGGAAGCAAATGGGCATGAGCGTCACCATTCGTGACCTTTCTCCCCCCGTGCCTTGCTGCAAGTGGGAGACTCCTCATAGGAGAGCCCCCAAAGTACCGGAGTTCAGGACCACGGCAGCCCTGGTGCATCTGCCAAGGACACGCGGTGAGTCAGCCCAGGTCTGTGCTGCAGCAGCAGCTGTCCCAAATGACACCCTGCTAGGGACAGGCGCACCAGACGACAGCGGCAAGCACACCTCACCCTGAACACTCAGAACACCTCCCTGCAGCGACAGAGTTCTCAGAGAGCGCCCGTTTCAGATGGGTGCTTCCAGACGAGGACACTCGTAGTTCAAATGGCAACACTCACAGAAACAAATGTTTTCTGCAAACCCATGGGGAGTGCAATGCGGAGCAGCGCGCATGGGCTCTGCCGCTGGGAAGCACGGGCACTCGCCCAGCACGCGGGCCCTGCACACTCGTGCTTCATCGCACCTTCACGTAGAGCAGCCTCTTGTGCCTCTCAGTGTGACAAAGTGCCCTCTGATCCCACTGGAGAAAAGCTGCTGCTTCTCTACCTGGCAGTGGTTAAGAAGAGCATGGCAAGGGACCAGCAGTTGGCGTAATGGCTATGTCACTATACGCTCATGTAGCTGACCACAGTTCAAGTCCCAGATCCGGTGGCTTAAACTCATGTCGGGTACTTGTACGTGTGTGCCCAAGATCCTGGGAGGAGAATGGAGGAGAAGGGATTGCGGTGTGTCCATCCCCCCTGGGGGGTGATTTCTCGCTTTCTGTCTCTCTGTCTCTGTCTTTCTGGTAAGCGCACGCGCCCTATAGCAAAAACCTCTCCAAAAAAAAAAAAAAATTAGTAATGACTAAAAACCTCCAAAATTTGATAGAAATGATGAATTTGTAACACTAGGAAGAGAACCCAAACCACAGTGAACTCAAAGAAGTCCATGCCAAGACACATCCTAATTGAACTGTTGAAAACTAGACAGGAAACTTAAAAATAAATTGAAAAAGAAGAGCAAGGCAGATCTGCAAACGTGGAAATGACAACACGCAAACACCTTCTGTGTGCTGACACGGCTGAAGGAAAAGAGGCTCCCGTTTGGCTTAATGGGTGTGAACAGGCCGAGCGGGCACTTGGTCACACTGGCACGTGGCTCAGCACTGGGGGGACACATGCCTCTGTCGACCATCCGGAGTGGAGCGGAGCCTGGGGCGGGGCAGCTGATGACCCTCCTGTCCCGGTTAAGAAGTCCTGCGCTTTGCTCTCGTTGAACTCGCACGCATGACCCACACACTACTTTAGACCCCAAAGAAGATCCCCGTCCCGAGCTCCCTACCCGAGGTGCGGCCCTCCGTTCATGAGGTCAAAGACCTGGGCGGGATTCAGCAACTGCTTGAATCTTCTGAGGAACTTCACTCCCTGGTTGTCCCCGCTTTTTGAGTTGACAAAGACCAACAATGGGCTCGTGCAGGACGGAGGACAGGTGGCCTTCCAGAACCCTGGGAAGGAGGGAACAGGACAGAGAGGATTCACAGGCCACCAGGGGCAGGGGGACCGCTGACGGAGTGAGCAGTTGCAGATACCCCGAGGGCGAACACAGGCAGGGCAGCAAGGGCCACTGTGGCCATCCATGTGGCCACTGCCCTCGTGTTAGTGAAGCCACAACTGACGTCACGCCCGGGAAGCCTGCTCTCAGCTGGCTGTTCTGTCCTCTCCACAACCCACCCACCTGGAAGAGTGGGTTCCTGGGCACCTGCGGTAGGCCCCTCCCAGCAGCACCTGTCACCACATGTCACCATCACAAGCAGGACATGTGAGTACAGCTAGGAGCCCGTGGTCAGCGTCTGCCCCAGAGACGAGCCCGGCTTCACGGCTCAGGGCGGCTCGGGAGCTTCGAGCGCAATCTCCACTGAGCACGCCCACCGCCTTCAAGGAAAGCCCCAGCCTCGCGCTCTCAGTGCACCTGACCCGACCCTAGCTCAGCACATCCCCTGCTCCCCGGTGTCTGAGAATCACGAGGTAACCCACTCCGACTCCGACCAGTGAGGAAGGCCGACTGGAAGGAGCAGGCGGCCAACGGGAGCGGGGCACTCACCGTCGGAGTCGATGCTGTTGAGAGCCGTGGGCGGGATGACTGACACCTTACACAGGCCGAGCGGGCACTTGGTCAGCAGGGAGTCTTTGCAGGAAGTGTGCACCTGCAACAGAAACTGCGTGTCACCAGGGCCACTGGCACCTCCACACTCGCCAGGCCTTGCTGGCCCCACAGCTGATGAGCCCATCACGGAGAGACCCAGACGGGGCCCTGGTCCCGGTCCTGCAGCTGAGGTGATGTGGAAATAAGAGACGCCAGTGGTGGGCCGTGGTGTGCGACCTGAGTCCTGGCCTGGTTCTGGGTCCCTCTGACCTAACGTGCACTTTCAGGACTAGCCTGAGGCTCTGGAGCACCGTGCCCTGGGGCCCATCTGTGTCTCGGCTCCCTGGCAGTCAGGTGTCCTCAGTAGGCAGCGACCATAACCTCGGTGTGAGGGCCCACCACAGCGAGGCATCGAGGTCCCTCACCAACCTGGGAATGCACCTCACCCACCAAGGCGGGGCGCCACCACGTACCTGCCAAGGGACTGTCCGGGCTGCGCCGTGCCTGTCACCCTCCCCTGCGTTGCCCAGGCCATGATGCTGCCCAGGATGGCCCCTCAGAAGAGCCTCTCCGCTTCCTGCTTTCAAAATGGTCAGCTACCCTACCCCGAATCACCCCCCACCCTGGCCATGGTGGCGCAGGCCTGGAGACACTGTCATGGAGACACACACGTATCTAAAGGAGAGCTGAACTCCAGAGAAATGGACACTTCTACAAAGTCAGTCGAGAACAAGAATAACCAGCGAGAAAAGGGCAGTCAGGTCACCAGAGCCAGGCATGCAGGTGTTCAGCTGAAGCTCCAGGCCCACATGGCGCCGCGGTGGGCAGGAGGGTGACAGACCCAACTCACCATGGCCTTGCACCAGAGGCAGCGCCAGTCCTGCAGGCGCAGCACGCTGCCACAGGTCTTGTCGCACACGGTGCACTTGGCACTCACGGGCAGGTTTCCCTCCAGCCACTGGTGGGGCATGGCGATCTGGGGGCAGGCAAGATTGGGTCCTGAGCTCCAGCCCCAGGCTGGCGAGACACCCTTCCCGCAGCTCTGCTCCTGCAGCCAGGAGCGGCACGCCTGCGAGGGACGCAGCAAGACTCACAGGCTCAGGACAGAGTTCGGGGCTCCGATGTGACCCGCTATGACACCTGATCCCAGTGTGACCACCTCTAACAGCAACTAGGGGCAGGCGGGGAGGAAGCTCATGCAGGTCAGCAGCCCTGGCTGAGGCAGGTCCCGACACATACCCCATCCTCGTCCTCGACGATGTCCTTCCCGATCGAGGCCAGCGTCGTCCACTTGCAGTTGTTGGTTGCGCGCACCGCACAGCGTTTGTGGGCCTTGAACTTGCACACTGAGGAAGGAAACCTGGGCCTGCACCCGCCGCCTGCGCCAGGCCGATGGCGTGCAGACTGTCCTGGTCTGGGGAAGCTGAGGGGGACAGGCGTGCTCCCCGACGGCCTGCCCCACTCCACATGCTGGGAGGCTGAGCCTAGGGGGCAGGAGCACTAGGGCCAGACTCCCGGTGCAGCCAGAGCCAGCCAGTGGCTGTGACAGGCTGGGGGGTCGGGCGGGGGGCCACCACGGCGAGGA